TGTATGGCTTTTCACCAGTGTGTGTCCTCACGTGCTTTACAAGATCACCTTTCTCAGTAAAACGCATTGGACAGAGGTCACAGCTAAATGGTTTTTCACCAGTGTGGTACATTTTGTGCGTCTTAAGATATCTCGCTCGTGCAAAACTCTTCTCACAGACTTCGCACTTAAACGCCCCTCCTGTTTCCCCGGGCGAGATCGCCTGCAGAGCGCGACTGGGACTGCTTTTACTTCCGCTCCCGCTGCCGGTGTACTTCCGGCCTGGCTGCTTCTTCCGCAGCACCTGCGAGTCCTTCTGGTCGTCGTGCTGGTCGTTCTGCACCGGCTGAGCGTCGCGGGTCCCACACCGGACGGTAGAGCCGCCCTGCCTGGTTGCGTCGCCGGGAGGATGCACCACTTCCACGTCGCGCTGCTCCGGCTGCACCGCGCAGTCCCCAGGGTCACCCCCACTGCTCGCCGCGTCCTCCGCGGGGCACTGCTCGTCCTGCAGCGAGAAGCACGCCGACATCACCAGCCCCAGCTGCTCGTCGAGATATCTAAAGAGGCACAAAATGTACCACTCTGGCGAAAAACCATTTAGCTGTGACCTCTGTCCAATGCGTTTTACTGAGAAGGGCACTCTTGTCGTTCACATGAGGACACACACTGGTGAAAAGCCATTCAAGTGTGACGTATGTAGAATGTGTTTTACTAATAGGAGTAACCTTGTCGTTAACATGAGGACACACACTGGTGAAAGGCCCTTCAAGTGTGACGTATGTAATATGAGTTTTACTGAGAAAGGCCATCTTGTTGTTCATATTAGGACACACACTGGTGAAAAGCCATACAAGTGTGATGTGTGTAGCAAGGCGTTTAGTCAAGTATCTCATCTCAAGAGACACAAAACAATTTGTAAATCAATTTAAATTTATTGATTTTTAAATTGTTCAACTTTGTAAAACATTATCAGTTGTTCAGCGATGATTGTAATTAGTACAGTTTTGTTTGTTCATTGTATTTCGAACATTACGAATAAAAACATGGGTCGATTGACTTCATCAACCCGGCGGCATCTCCATTTTGTTCCTTGCTCGGTCACACCGGCTTGTATGTGGCAATCCTTGGAACTTGGCGACGCAGGTGTCTTACGCGGTGCTCTTGTTTCAGGTTGCGATCCTAGGTTCTCGCCCAGCAGCAGGACGACCTCCGGGGAGGATCCTGGCGAGGCCACCGTATCGAGCTGAATCAGGACGGTCGGCTGTACCTCACATGAGCTTCGTGAACAGAGTCCTGCTGGTGATCCGATCTATTGGCCTGCTAATGGTCCCGAGGGGCCAGCGCGAGGTGCCGATACCGCTGGCAGACGTGTCGCGGCTTCGCCCCCTGAAAGTGGCACCACTCCGTGCTCGATATCATGCGCCGCCGCTCCGGGAGCAGGTCTTGTTGGGGCGCCGCGACTTAACGATACTTGGGTGGGGCGGGGCGGCGGGTAGTGCGAAACTCGTATGGAACTGGAGGGTGGTGAAATTTAACCTATTTAACGCTTTATGCTGCTAGCTTCCCTGTTGCAGGCCAAGTCGCAGGAGTGACCCCGACGTTGCACGCGCATGCTGGTGGTTCTGGGGATGAGGTAGACCTCTGATGACCCCGCGTAAAAATGTTAGGGATAAAAGAGTCATAATTTTCTCGGTGCGCAGATGACAAAATTGTAACTATATTATGAGTGATTTATGACAGCATTTATGGCAAAATTATGACAGCGTTTTATGAGTAAATTATGAGATACCGGGAAGTCATAATCGACCAGGTATAGTTGTCGTAAAGTTCTGGCTAAACTTCTCATAATTTTCTCATCAAATGCAGTCCCGCAGAGGAAAATATGAACATATCGCTTCCAGTCGGGTTCGACCCGGCGACTTTACACTGCCGAGACTGTGGCCAGAGTGATCATCTGAGGAGAGGCGGTCCGCTCCCCGTACTAGCTCGACTCGATGGGCGAGCGTCGAGCGAGGTACAAAATGCAAGTGGTGCCCGGGTTGATAGAATCTGAAGAACGTCGTTTTTATTCGTTATACAATAAATAAACAAAACAATCATCTATTACAATCGTTGCTGAAGTATGAGTGAATAGGTTACAATGTTTTATGATTTAAAAAGAAATACAAATTGTTTTATGTTTATTGAGATTTGATTTGTGACTGAAGGCCTTGCTACACACATCACAAGTGAATGGCATTTCTCCAGTGTGTGTCCTCATGTGAACGACAAGGTTGAATTTCTGAGTAAAACGCATTTTACATACGTCACACTTGTATGGCTTTTCACCAGTGTGTGTCCTCACGTGAGCGACAAGATTGCCTTTCTCAGTAAAACGCATTGTACAGAGGTCACAGCTGAACGGTTTTTCACCAGTGTGGGACATTTTATGCCTCTTTAGATGACCCGACGCAAAATTTTCTGTATGCTATTAGGTTGTTTTTAGTTTGTCATGACGAACA